TATCATAAATGACTTACCGGTATCTCAATATTCTATGGTCAACCGGATCAATGCCAACCAATCGGGCTAATGAAATTAAATAATTTAAAGTAACCACTCCAGCTGCTTTATAATTTCAAGTTCTCCTCTTCATCGCTCTCTGTCCCGTCGATACCACCCGTGGACCCCACGTAGCCGATGATTTCCATTGCGCGCTGCCCGCTGCCCTCTGACTGTGGTACGGGCTCGCGGATCACCTCCACGATGTGCGCCTGGTGCGAGGCGGCGCGCTGCGCGGCCCGGCGTCTTGCGCTCGCCGCGGCAGCCATGGACGCAACGCGCTCCACGTCCTCGGGCGGGGCCGAGCGCATCGCCGCCTCGGCTTCCTGGACGGCCTCATCGAAGTCGCAAGCTAGTTCAGCGCGTAGCAGACGACTCAGCGCCATCTGCGTGCGCACGGACAGCGTCGGACGGGTCGTCGAACGTCGATCGGCCGGTGTCGTGCAGAAGCACGCATTCATGATACACAACGGGGGTTGGAAGCACCTGCAGTTCCGGTTCATCTGTGGGCGGCAGGAGGTCGGGTTCGCCTGGCTCGCCCAAGATTCCCGTCTCGGAGAAGGCTGCATCCACCAGTTTCTCCAGCTCGATGTCTGCCTTGGTGGAGAAGAGCTGCATTCGACTCATCGGGGGCCAACTGCACTCAAAGGGAAAGCAGGCACAGTGCAGTGTGGGGAAGTCCTTCAAGAGGATCAGCAGCGGCATGCACGAGGGACACCGGGTTGCACCTCCGGGAGGCACTGTCTAATCCGGTCTAATCACCTCGTAGGCTGTACTTCCGGTTCGGTCACAATGTCCCCCTCGGCTGCCGAAGTGTAGAGTTGCCTACCGCCGATGCGGGCATCTGAAGTGTCCCACGAGGAGTCCCACCTGGGCATTTTGGCAGGGCCTGGTTTGCACCACCCGCAGCCCCCCCAAAATTTCTCAATGTCAAAAGCTGATGTGTTGAGGATGCCCCGATAGCGAGTTGCCTAGCAACGGAGCAGGCCGAGAGGGCGAGAAGTGTCACGATCACCCCCGCGTCTAGCCGTGACCGGGGTCACGAAAGCTTAAGCAGCCACGTCATGACTTTCTTGGCGACGCGCTTATGGACGGTTATGGGCCGGGCGTCGTCGCCCTTGCCGTCTCCGGCACTCTTGTTGAACAGCCTCGTCCGGCTGCCGTCCACCAGCTCCGCGCCTACGTCCTGGGAGCCATCGCACAGCCTGCAGGTGGACAGTGATCGCGGCGTCGCGCGAGGTGGCCGCGGCCCTGTCTTCGCCGGCTGCAGCGGGCTCTCGTCCCGAGCAACTTCCTTGACGGGGTGCCTTGTCGCCCTGGGGGGCACCACCGGGAAGGGCTTTGGGGCCGTGTGCGGCCTGGGTGCATGGGTGCCCGGCAGAGCGTAAATACCCGGTGGGTACCCGGGGTGGTGGGCGCTGGCACTGAGTCCTACAGGAAGCCCCGCCACCCGCCCCCATGACGATGGGGATGACGGTGACGGTGGAGGCAGCGCTGGGACAGTCGCGACCTCGACGTCGGTCCCGCCTCGCTCTAGGGACTCGCGGGTCGCGGACTTGGACGGGACCGTGTAAATGGGGGAAGGGTAGAGGGGCTGGATGGGGAGGATCTCGGTGGGGTGCAGAGCCGCGTGGGGTGTGCGCCTGGCAGCCCGATTGGGGCAGGAGAGGCCGCAGCAACAACCGCTGGGGCCAGCATAGCCACGATTGGCTCGAACCGCCCCCTCGGCCTCGGGGGCGCCATCGTTAGTCTGGGTGGCCACCGACAGCTTGGCGAGCGACCCGGGCCCCGGCCGCCCCCGCCGCGGCTGCTCGCCGTGGAGGAACCTGTACACGCGGCGGAGGTACTCTGCGTCCCCGCGGTGCAGGTCCGTCCCTGCCTCCGTGTCCGCTCTCGTGTCGCAGTCTGATTGCGAGGGAAACACATTCTTATCGAGCAGTCCACGACGTTACGTACGCCTAGAGGTCCTGACAAGTTATCTTGACCGAAGGATTTCAGTCCGCGCCAGAAGTGCAGCCCTACGCGAGCCGAGCTGGAGCCCATGTGGCCCGGGCCGGCGGCGGGGCGGGGGCGGCCTATTGGCACCGGGTAGGTTCGGTGCGATTCCTGAGCGGCCTGTATTTCTTTCGTTCTCCGGGTGCGAGCGCGGTCAAGATAAGTTGTGAGGACCTCTAGCTTAGGGATCGTCTAGAAAGTATGTCCGTTTTTCACAGATTCATTCAGCAAGTTACGGGAGCTCGGCGCCTGCGAGATTTGGGGTAGGCCAACCCGCAGTACATGCATGCCCTGGAGGCAAGATGTTGCCTACCCACCAGGCGCTATGAGAGCTTGCAAGGGGTGAACTTGGCAAGTTCGTAAAACGGCAAAGGACGGACGTACTTCATGGATGACCCCTTACGCAGGCCTTGCGGGCGGCGACAGCTCATACCTGAAATGCCGTGCGAGCAGTAGCAGTGACTGATGGCTGCGGTGCTCCGCCTTAACCGCCCCGGAGCCCCGCTGGAGCGCTTGTCGTCCAGTACGACGTGGACCTTGACGGGAATCTGGGCGTGATGCTTCCGAGCCCGACCGGGGCTGCGTGCGCCGTGGAGCACGCCGTCGACGCCCCATGAGCGTCCTTCCCTGCCCTCCCCTTCCCTGACCCCATCGGTGCACTTTCGGGTACTTTTAAGCTTTGGCTGGTGACGGCGGCAGCCGTGGCGGCTGCAGGCGCAGTACGGTTGACTCAGAGAGTTCATGCTTGTCAAAATGATATTTTAAGTTATTTGGATAGAACCGGCAGAACATATCTGGCAAGATAGGTTTGGGAGGCGCTACCGCGCTACCCGGTGGCATTGTTGATCTGGTCGAGGAGTTGAGGCAGTTGAGGAAAGGACAATGAGGTCTGATAAAACCACTCGCTGTGCTCATGTTTTCCAAACCAACTACGTGAATTGTAACTCATCCAAATGTTTTCACACTTTACCTTATCAATAAAAT